CCGGGGGCCGGGGACCACCAAGGGGCGGACCACAGCCGCGCATGCGCGCCTGAGGCCTGGGAGGGGGGCTCCGGGGAGGGGCCAGCCGGCTCGCCCCCCGACCCGGCACCCGGCTCTCCGGCGCCGAGCTGCCCCACTGTCCGGCCCCCCCTCCCCCCCGCCCCCCCGGTCCCCGCCCCTCCTGGGAGACACGGCCGTGTGGTGCGTCGCGGGTGAGAGGCCGGGCAGCGCGGGGAGCCGCCTTTTGTTCCACCCTCCCCGGGAGCCCCTCCCCGCGCGCGCGCGCGCGCCTCCCGTCTGTCGCACGCACATGTCCCCCGGCCCGCCCCCTGGCCAGGCAGCCAGGCGGCCAGCCACCAGTCAGAGGGGGGGGGGGGGGCCACACGGAGCACAGCGCACTCCCGCGATGAGCCGGCCGTTCGGCGAGAAAAGGGGCCTCGGCGTCAGTTGGCTCCTCGGGCGCGGCGCGGTGCGCGCGGTCTCGCGCGCGCGCGCGTGTGTGCCCGCTGGCCCATCCCGCCTCGGCCAGGCCAGGGTATGATGGGCGATCGTCGGCCTGTGTGTATGTGTGTGCGCGCGCCCGCGCACATATACATATATATATACGCGTGCCTACATGCGTGGGCGTGGCGGGCAGCGCGGGAGCCGCCGGGGCGCCGGCATGCGCCCTCCCCCCCCCCCGCGCCCCCCCTCCGGCATGCACACGCGCCCCTCCGGTAAATAGAGCACGACCGGGCCCCGGGGCCGCCCGGGCGGGCACAGGGGATGACTATTAGCACAAACACAGGAATAACACGAAAAAACAAGGAAAATGCTTACAAAATAATGGGGCCACTTCGGGGGGCATAATTATCACGGCCTCCTGGACGAGCGCACGCGCCCAGTCACACCCCCTCGCCCGGGGGGAGGGGGAGGGGGGGGGGGGCGGCGCTCGCCCGCACGCCCGCCGCGGTGTGGCCTGAGCCGCGTGCGCGTGCGCGGGCGCGCCAGCCGAAGCGCCCCGGCGCCCGCGGCGGCGAAAACAACAATACTGGCGGACAAAAACAACATCCGCCTCCGGCGCGCCCAAGCCCCCCCCCCCCCCCC